TAAAATTAAGGACTGCTACTGATAGAACAATGTATCATTGATAACAAAAAGGAACTATTATGAACTTAAAGGAATTTTTAAAATAAGGAAAAAGCTAATTTTTCCTGTTTTAAGTGTTTGTTTATAGAGATCACTTGTTTTAAAACCTGTACTTCCTTTTCTATTTCTTGCTACATGAGTGAATCTAAACCATAGTATGAATCTGATTTCTAAACAAATTTAGTACAAAGAGAATGAAAACTCTTTGGTATCAAGTGTTTGTATCTCAGCACAAGTGAGGCTGCTATGTATGTATCTGAAAATGTTTAGCTGAACACACAAAAGGGCAGTTGTTAGAAAAATAATCTAATAAATCATTCTGTCCAGTATTTTTACTTGGTAAATTCTAACAGCCAGATTGGAGCATATCTTTCGCTTAGCATAGCATAAAGCTAAGGAAAGCTTAGCTTTAGTGACAAATATGTTTTAAAATGTTCTGCATGAGTCCTGATTCATAAATACCTGTAACATGGATTTGGGATGTGGTAATTCTTCACCTTGATAGATCTTTATATAAGCCTAAAAAGAAAGAAAGAAAGACTCATGCTCAAGGAATTCCATTCAATATTTCTCTAATTGTGTTAAATTGTATTCTAAGGTTTAAGGTCTTGACAGTTCAAAAAATATAAGGTCTTGGATGTTTCAGGAACTATTATATTTTTCTTATACTTTAAATTCCCTCTTTCTTAGCTCTGGTTACCTTTTCCTGAAATGCCCCCGCTTTCCCCCCCCCTGAAATGCCCTTTTCACACATCTCCACGTGCCAATCCTACTCTTTTTAAAGACTTAACTCACTTCCACCTCCTTTAAAACTTTCTCACATCCCTCCTAGGAGTAACCTTTTTCATTTCCCCACAGGAATTTGTACCTGCTGATGTCAGAAGCTTTATGGAACAGATATGTGTAAAGGTCCTGAATATCCTACTAAATTCTAAGCTTCTCCATAGTGTTGTGCACAGTAAAAACTCAAATTTTAGATAAATAAATAACATGCCATTTATTGCTGAGTATGATGAAGGTAAGTAATCATACAGGAGGTATATGACTGCATTTTAAATGACAAAACGTGTATTTAAAAAATGGATCTTTTAGTATTTGGAGCAACAATACACAAATTAGACTGGTAACTGAAATTCTCCACTGTATATGTGGATTGGTAAAAAAAAAAAAAAAAGAATCTGTTGTATTTGGTGCTACCTGAGGTAAACAGGTAAATGCGAAGTTAAAATAATTCTACTTCAAATTGGCTGTTGGTGCAGAGAGCGGGAAATGTGGAAGTATTTTCTCCAGTAGGAAGGCAAGGTTTAGCCCCTTTGGGAAAATCTTCAGAATGAAGGTAAAACTCAGTACAGGTCATGACTGAGGACTGTGTGGCATGGATCCTGGGAAATCTCTCCCTCCCACCCCCACCAAAAAATAGACTTTTCCAACTCTTAATACATTTATATTTCAAAAATATATTTCCCTCAAGATAAAAGAAAGTAAAGTTACCTTAAGGAGTTTTCCAAAAAAATAATTTCAGAAAGTTAAATTCCTCTAGCGAGTCTAGTAATTTTTTATTATTTTTATAGATTACTTATACCTTTGTCCCCATATTACAGTCTATAATTTTTGTTGTCATAGTTTCAAGGAATAACTACATTCCAAAACATGTCAAATCTAAGTACTCAAAAACGCGCTAGAAATGAGAGTGATACCTTGAAGTACTCCACCAGACCTCGGCAGGTGATTTTGTTCCCATTGATCTCTTTAATATCTAGGTTCTCAGGACTAAGTAGCCAAGGAATGAGGATTTTCAAGTTTTTGATGAATTCATCATCTATTTCTACAAGTAAAAGCAAATTCATCGTTATTTTTAAAATCCTATTCAGTCCTCCATGCCATACAATAAAACATGCTTTAATTTCCTCCATTTCTTCCCCAGTGATAAAGCCATCACACACTTTCTTATCATCTAAACTTCTGAAACCCACTTTTCTCAAGGTGAATGATACTCCTTGCCCAAACTTCTACTTCTGGTCTTTCTTATCTCCACTTCAATTATACATCTATCTTCTACCTATAAAATAGCTTTCTTGATATTAAACATTATACAAATATTTTACACCCCATTCACATAATCATTTCATATATTTTGATGTCTTTAAGTCTTGTTTGTGGTTGTATGTGTGTGTGTGTGTGTGTGTGTGTGTGTGTGTGTGTGTGTGTGTGCGCGCGCACGCGCGCGCGTGTGTATTCATAATTGAGGGGAAAGCCATATATTGACTGGCTGTTAAGATGTATTCCCTCCAGAAAACATATCCAAAAATTATTCTGTGTTAGTGTGCCCACCTTATGGAAAGTGCATAGAACTAGTTATGGTATGGTAAGTAAGAACTCAAGTTCAAAAAGATAGTGATAATAATGCTACCTCTAGTGGTGAAACTCAGCAACACAAAATAACATGGCAAGAAAAGGCATGGAAGCCCAATAGAGAGCAGATCAGAGGCAAGTCTGAGTTATTTACCTACCATGTTTAGCTCAAGTGATTACACGTAACCCATGATATAGCATTAGGGAAGCTTAATTACAGCTTTAGCAAAGTAACACAGAAAATATATCTTCAGGGAAGTCTTTTGAAAGGTGATAATTCCTTAAATCATTTCAAAACCAAAAAAATACACATAATATATGTAAAAAGCAAGGTATGTCCAGAGACTGGATATCTAAGTAACTGCCTATATTTTTTAAAAATCTGAACTTCAGCAGTCACTGAATTATCAGGCTTTGGGATTGGTGCTTTCTGAGGTCTTAAGGGTAAAGATGCAAACCTTATGATTGTGTTTGCATTTTCCCTGGTTGTTTTTATAGCCCCAATATACATTGAAATACCAGTGCACATAAGAATTCATGTTTCTCTTCTCTTGCTTGCTGCTTTTATGACATGCATGAGCATGATGTTGGAAATCTTTCAGACTTATTTTGCTTCATGTTTTGTACAGCATTGAAATTTTAGTGCCCATGTTAAGCCTCTCACTATAGGAGTTAGAAATGGAATTACAGGAGTTCAAAATTGGAATGGAATAAGATACATCTGTGTATCTAATGCACACACGTGTGGTTATTATTAAAGTATCCAGCATATTTGGGTTAAAAGTATGTTCTGAAGATGGCATTAGTTATGATCTAACTCTGTTCTCACTGAGACCAATGCCAGGTATTCCAATTCTGGATTCAGAAAATATGAACAATATATTCATAACATATACAAGTGGTGAGTTCTTGCTAACAATATTAATTGAGCACAGTAAATACATGACCCAGAACATCCACAGACCATTCAGATCAATTTGCAGATGTATACTAATCAGTTTTGGCCACGGCAAGTGTTCAATACAAATGTGTGAGTAGAAGATCATTCAGGATGATGTTTTGCTTTCATCATCTCTTTAGTCATTTTTGCCACCAAGAGTAAAACCTTGCTAGGAATTCAGGGGCTGGGCCAAAGTGGTTATGTGTCACAATAATTGAGGACATGATATGTACTTTATAAGAACTCCACAGGGCAGATGTACTGGTATATCGCTGCTGTGTAAACTAAACAGGGAAGGTATTTTCTTCGGATTACCTGACTCTGAAAAGTGACTAGAAACACCTTTTTAAAAATCACCTTGTGATGGTGTTTAGTTATTCTTTCTGAAGTCTTAACTGGAGCTGCTAAGAAAGCAGCTTCACAATTTATGGTGCGGTTACCTGGTTGTTCTACTTGGGGCACGATAACACAGAGCAACCTCAAAAAAAAAAAGGTAGCTTGTTGTTAATTAAAAGATAGCTGGGGGAGATAGGTATTCAGTAGGCACTTGGTAAGAACTGGTTGAATGTAGCATGAATGGATGTGATTCAGTGCTTTTTATTCTTTTGATTTCCTATGTGGGAAGCTATTAAATTAATACCAATTAAATATCATCATATTATAAGTTGTAAGTAACACTGGAAATAGTAAGATGAAATAATTTCAGTAATGTGAGAGACCATGAACAAATAATAATTATAACAATTATTACTATTGATAATGAACTTGGAAGTTATTTCTGTAAGTGTGTGAGAAACTATTATCAAAGAACAATTTTTGCACAATATTTTATTCAGAGACATTTCTTCCTGAGGCAACCGCTCAGATGCTAGCCCTCTGGAGCACAACATGGCCAGCAGACAAGACACCCTGGCTAGAAATCACCCAAATTATAAGATTCAGGATGGGATGGAGAAACAAGGTAGACACAGACTGTCAAAACTGCCCGAGGAGAAACTGCTGCAAAGTAGAACATTTCGACACATGGGGGTATTCTGCAGCAGTTCTACAATGCCTCATCAAAATGGAACTTTTGATGGGCAACTAACACTGTCTTTCATTGCTTTCTCTCAAGCTCACCACTTTGGTAAACTCATCACCAACTGTGTGGGTCAATATATGTTTAGACGTGAGTAAAGTTTGATGGAGAACAAATCTGTTAAAAAGTGGGATTCTACACCTGCATGATTTGTCTTAAACTCTCTCCCTGAGATCTTTCATTGCAAAATGTATCAGTTAATTTAAGAACTGTAGCTAATGTAAGAACTACAGGAATGGAACAAGCCAGAGTAGTTTTTTGTCCCAATAAAGGACTGTTATTGAAGGCCTGCCCCTCCTTTTCCTGTTTATGGCTCCCCACCTACAGAGAAGAAAGAGAGGCCTTGTAGGAGCCCTCTTTTTACGTAATTTATTCAAAACGCACTGAAGTCATTAGGTAACTGCACAGTTAGCAAGAGGTCTGTATGCTCACTGGTGAGTTGGAGTTCGTAAGTGACAGTGAAATGATAGGATCCTGGAATCCACGCAATAGCCTACTGCTATTTGTTCTGTTGTATAAGGCTAAAATAATTTAAAACTTGTAAAAAACAATTGAGAATTTTGGGATTCTATTTATGATACTAACTGCCATAGTTCAATATAAAGTATCTGAGAGTAAACACTGGATATAGGGGAAAAAATAGGTTTGTTTTTTCAAACCAGATCCATAAAACTGGATACAAGTCATGTTGTCCTTTTTTAAAAGTAACTTTAAAGCCCTTTGAAAACAATTGTGCTGAGAAGCTTGTGTTACTGTCTCACCACCTCTGGCACAATGCAGAAAGGCCACAGTAAATGAAGGAAATGTCTGAACTCATTGGTGTTCAATGCTAGGCTTACAGGTAAAAAAAAAAAAAAAAGTCAGAAATGAGAAGTGTCCTTGTATTACCTTGAATTAACTACAAAGCAAATAGATAAAGACCTGGTGATTATCTACTAGGAAAGATTAGCTTCTGTTTCCTCAGACCCCTACCTCCACCACCCCCCTTTTTAAACAAGTTGAGTTGCTTTGGAATCTTAAACTGTTAGACATGCCTCTGTTTAAGACAGAATCACATACTGTTAGTACATACTATTTGAAAAACACTCTAATGCTTTTGGTTCTTAAAAAACTGGTCCTCATCCAGAAGATTTCATTCTTAGTGAGGCTTTTAAATAATTTATAATTAATTTTTTTAATAGCAGTTTTAAAGAGCTTGAGTTTAGTACTATGTAATAGTTCAATCTCTAATTATGCAACATCCCAATAATATAGATATCTATTTTCTTCTTTAATGTCAATGAGAAAAATTAAACAGGAAGACATTAAAGAGCATTTCTAAATGCCCAGAGTTGAGCAGGAACCTCTGAAAGAGTGAGGGTTACTGCCTTGCAGGTGAACACAGGATTTAGCCTTCCTCAGTCCGGGTACTTCTTCAGCACCATAGAATTCCACAGTTCACCAAGGACGTGCTCTAGCACCAGCCCAGACTTCCCAATTTTCCTGACAATTTCGAATCATCGGCCTCACATCAGTGGATGAACTAAACTACCAGTGATAAGCCCAGTGGATAAAATGGCATTTTTTTATAATCAGAAAAAGCGATGTAAACATATTCATTAAAAGACAAACCTTTTAGTTTTCCATCGAAGTTTGGATTGGTAGCTACTTTTAAGCCAGGATGAGGTAGCAGAAAGCAGGAAATTTTGGTGAAACAGGAATGGATGTGTTTTCGAACATTCTGTAGTTCTTCATGCTGGTTCCCTGAGACCTGCAGTAGTAAATCATTCTGAAGTTTAAACTACTTTAAATATGAGTTGAACTCCAAAGACTTCTGTGGCATCTTATATTTGCTAGGTCTGTCTGGTCCCACAATGATAAAAATGACATGACAGGGCTGATACTAAGGAAAGAATCAAGTCTTGGGTGACTGTGCCACACAGACATATCTAAGTATACCACACAGATGGCATTATTATTACAATAAACAAATGTCTATTCTTAGGCTGAGATGGGCCTTCCCATTTTTTAGTACAAATCACCAGGGTTTTACTCTAGCTAGTTCCTACAAATTCCAATTTTAATTCAAAGTACTCACAGGAGACATGAATAGATCATAAGATAGTCCTACCATCTTTTCAGGAGATACTCAAGACAACCTCTTGTCACCTGGTAGGTATACATTTAAATTGTAGAAAGGCGTCTGAATAGTTGGGTGTTTGTTTATAAGCTAAATTGCTCCCTTTTTTTTCACATGTATTTGACAGTTAACAGTACAAACTATCTTCAAAGTAATTACAGACCTAAAAAGGTAAGCTTAGAGATCCTGATTATAAAGAAATTTTTTTATCTTGATTTTTTTTTTCGGACTTCTCAGAAGGTATTTTTTGTGATATCTACACAGTGTAAACAATTCCTTCAATATTGAACTATCATGACATAGAAAATGGAAAATTTTCTAATTTTAATTTCTGTGAACTACTAGCAAAATGTTCTAAGATTGACTTTAGGGATTCAAAATTAGATATTTCTGTTAAATTGACTTTTAAACCTCTACTAAAACATCAATCCAGTTATTTGCACTGTCAGTTTTGAATTAATTTAATTCTTCAAATTAAAAGTTTTGTTTTAGGAAAAAAATCATTGTTTTATAGGTATCTACAAAAGAACTCTTTATCATAATTACTGATATTTGAAAATTGTAATTCTGAAGGTATTTTATTAAATATCTATCTTTGTTCATAGAGATACTATGAGGGTCAAATGAGATTGTGGCTACTGTGTATCTATTTGGCAAAAGCATTCAACAAAAATAATTATAGATTACTCTTGGTGAAATTTCATGCACCTAACTAAATATCTAACAAACCTTGAGGCGTTTTTCCAAGAATTTGGAGCCACCATCAGATCCATATGAAAATTCGTATGGGAAACTCCAGTCTCGAACAAGAAATATCAGACTCTAAGAAATGATAAGAAGAAGGGATTGATAAGGGGACTCTAAGTTGCCTCCCTCTGCTTTTTAATTGAAACCAATTAAATGATATTGTCATTTGAACAGTATTCTTTACATTATGGAATTAAAAGCAAACATAAAACCTTTGAAAGTTCCCGAGCAGTCTCTCCCATATTAGATCATCCTACCTGTTTCCACTAAGTGTAAACAGAAAGCTGCCCGAAAACTGAATATACCGTATTTGCCGGCGTATAAGACGATTTTTTGGCGCTGAAAAATATGCCTCCAAGTGGGGGGTCGTCTTA